GAGCCCCATATCAAGCTCACTGTTGTCAGGACAAAGCCTGCTTTGGATCCTCTGTCCCTTTCTCTCTCCCTCCTGCCCTGCTTGCACTTTCTGTCTCTCAAAAATAAATGAATATTAAAAAATTACCTTAAATGCCCACATTCCATCATCCTGTCCCCCTTCTGGTTCAGCTCCATTACCTTGGTAGGGAATTCCAGCATGGGGGTGAGGGGAAGGAGCCAAGTCACAAGTCGGAGAGGGGCTGACTGTAATGAGAATCGATGACACAACACTACACTCCCCTTCAATTCTCTTTGTGATTTCTCCCTCCAGGACAGACGCATTTGCCCTCAACTTCCCTGATGCTTTCACCCCAGGTCCTGGTGAGCAAAATATCCCTGTGAAAGAGGTTTTTAACCTGGTCACACCCAGAGACGTGTGCACACACAAATACACTCACATACACTCTCACAAATGTGCGAGATACACTCATTCACACTGTGTACACATACACACTACACACGTGGGCACACCTACACAGAAGTAGAGCCCACATTTGAATAACACACCAAACTCTCACTTCCACCCCAAGCCTCAGTGAGGCTCATGACTCTTAGAGTGCCCAGCTGTCCCCAGGGAGAACATATGGCCTGGCCCCAGCCCCGTGTGCCTCACCTAAAGCAGGACAGAAGGAGAAAGTCAAGCCAGCGTTTCCTAGAATCTGAAAAGACGTCAGCAGAAAAGTCCAGTGTGATTTTTTAGGCCGAAAGTACCAACCAGTGTTCCAGTGAACGTGATTCACTGAGCTGCTCTTTGAAAAATAAAACTCCACAGTCCAGGGAGTTTGGTAAACACAGCCCACCATATTATCCCCTCTCAGAGAATTTCAAGGCTCTGACAGGTCCTAAAGAAAAGGTTCCTGGGGCGCCTGGATGGCTTAGTCGGTTAAGCGTCCCACTTTCGCTTAGGTCATGATCTCGCAGTTCGTGGGTTCGAGTCCCTCCTCGGGCTCTGTGCTGACTGCCAGCTCAGAGCCTGGAGCCTGTTTCAGTCTGTGACTCCCTCTCTCTCTGACCCTCCCCTGCTCACGCTGTCTCTCTCTCTCTCCTAGAAATAAATAAAACATTAAAAATTTTTAAAAAAAAGAAAAGAAAAGGTTCCTGCTACAGATCATCTAACCCAGTATTCCAGTGATAGATGGTAGACAGACAGATGGACAGAGACATAGATGGTAAATATGTGAGAGAGGAAGGAGGAAAGAGGGAGAGAGATGGAGATTGATTTTGTGATTATGTAAATTCCAAGGAACACACGTTTCAGTAACAGTGACCTAGACCAACCTTTTTCATTTTATAAATGAAAAAGAAAGAAACAGGGGCTCAGAAAGGGCTCCGCCCAAGGTCTCAGGTCACATCACTAGTAAAAGGCAAAGGGAGGACTAGAACCCAGGCCTCTTAATGCTCAGGTCCAGCCTCCTTCCAACAGACCCTGCTGCATTCTTGTACTTAACTCTAAACCCCAGGATTTCTGGGAATCAAAGGGGTCGATGCTCTTTTCAAAACAAACCCTGGTGTTTGTGATTCTACTTGGTGCCTTCACATGGCTTCCCTCCCCGGCACACCCTCTGCTGTGGAAGACCCCCCCTCCCTGCATCTTGGAATGGGCCCACTGTGAGGGCTGGCAGGCCCAGGGCAGCGGCCTGACGACCACGCCTGATTCAGGGTGTCGGCTCCTGCAAGGGCAGGGGCCTGGATACCTAGATCCAGCTACTCGACTTGAGGTGGGGAGGCTAGCTTCCTGACAGGTGTACCCAAGTGGGGACAGGCGCTCACCATGCCACCCCCAAGGACGGAGCTGGAGAAATGAAAGCTGAGGCCTGACCTAGGCCGTGCGCAGGGCTCAGCTGCTAGAATCAGGGCTATCTTCACACCCTCCTGGCTCAGCCGAAGTCCCATCCTACCCCACCCCCCGAGCTCCCAGCCACAGCGGCCTCGCCCTTGCTGCACACGCCTGGCACAGATAGATGCCCAATGCCCTCGGTGGGCGTGCAAACCCACGGCCCCCCGCCATACCATCCCTGCCTGGTGAATGGCTACTTAACACTTCCCACAGGCACATCCTGTCTCCCCACATGGCCTTAAGGCTTCTAGAGTGCAAGGCAGGCCCCAACTTCCACCACCTCCCACAGAGACACGCGCCAGGCTCTGCAGGGCATGTGCATGAAAAGAAGAGAACCACCTTGCAGTGCCCGGCATGGTGCTTGGCACACAACAGGCACAGAGAGTGTCTGCACACCCTGCACAGATAAGTCCCTTATCGAACCACAGAAGAGAATTCATGTTGAGTATCTGTGATCGGACAGAAAGCCACAGGATCTGCTGGAGGGACTCTGAGGCCACGCCGTCAATCGGCTTGTCAGGGTCTCAAGTCCCTGAACAGCACAATGCGGGGGCCGAAGACGTGTGCGGACTTTCTGGCTCTCAAACTCCGATTCGATTATGGACTCACAGAGAGGGAGAGCCAAGTGCTTCCCTTTCTCTCCTCCAGCCCATTAGCATAGCAGCAACCGAACACGAACAAAGCCTTGGGGGCGCGTGTGGCCAGGCTCACACAGGGCACTAGCCCTCCCCAACTCCAGGCACCTCACGGGAGTAAATCTGGCAGACGCGCTTCAGACCCAAAAGCCAGTGGTCTTGGATACCTCAAGCAAAGTTACACAAAATAGGAGATGCGGCCACAAAGACAGATTCTCTGGGCCCAGAAGGCCAGGATCAGAGGTAGACAGGAAGCGGGGGAGTAAGTCTCCTCTGCTGATCTTTCGCTAAGATCTCTGTGCAGGCCGTCCCTCCTCCTCAAATCCCCTCCCCACCCCAGACCTCCGCAGTGAGCAAGCAGGGGTGCCCACCCAGAACTCAAAGCCCTCGCACCCAAGCCCTGTGTCCCCCTTTCTCCAGCCCCATCCACCTCGGAGGCTTCTCTGCTGCTGGAATGGGGACGCCGCCGGACGACACCAGAGGCCTGCACTGAGTGGCACCATCGCCCACACTTCCCCCTTTCCCAGGAAGCAGGGCACCTGGGGGTGAGAGCAAGGCACACAGAGCAGAATAGTCAACTCTGTCCCTTTGTCTGGGACACACAGCCCAGGTCCTGAGCGCCTGCCAGGGTGGCCTATTGTCTGGCACTGTTTGCCTTTGGGGCGATAGGTGCCCCAGAGTTGGCCGGGAAGAGACAGGCCGAGTGGGGGCGGGGAGCAGGATCCAGCACCAGACCAGGTGGCCTTGGTGCCAAAGGCCGAGGCTTATGAAGCCCCTGGGCAAGGAGCCAAGTGCCCGCCCACTCCTCTGTCTGCAGCTCAGAAGACCTGCTGACGGCAGGAACACCCGCCATCTAACAAAAACCCCCCAGAACCTTTGTCTTCCCTCTCCCAGGCCCCTCAGGGCCCAGATCACCCCCCAGAGCTCCCTCCTCTTCCACCCCTGCGCGCACACCCTTGCCCCCACCTGAGAAGTTAGGGAGGACGAGGAGGCACTGCTAGTTCTGCCCAGAGAGGGCAGAAAGAGCCCAGCAAGAGCCAAGGCCCCGCTTCCAGGGGGGTGTGCACATGTGTTGGAGGAGGCTGGACTTCCCCAAACCACCACCTGTCCCTTGGCTGCTCTCAAAGCAGCTCCTCCGTGAGCAGCTCTCCCCCAGCGCTGCATCTGATTACACGCACACACAGAACACCCCACGCCACTCAGCTGTCCGATCTGAACAAGGCAGCGTGGGTCCAGAGATCTGTTCCCCAGAACTGTGAGACCCTGAGCAAGTCACTTCCTCTTTGAAGACGGGGGGATTGGATTCCTGGATCTCTAAAAACCCTTCCAGCTTCAAAGTCACATAACCAGGACCGTAGGGGGAGGATCTTAAGCCCTCCTAGACAGCGGAGTGGGACGCAATCCTACAGAAACGCAATAGAAAGGATCCGTGCCTTTGGCCAGAGACAGTTCAAGCCACCCACCACCAATAGATGGGGTTTTTTAGTAGTTTATATACTACACTTTGTGCATAAACCACACTCTGAGCCATACGCCACATGCTGCATATTATCACACCTTACGGTGTAATACACATTTTGAAGTATGTTCCACACTATGGGGTAACCCACACTCTGAGGTATATAACACTTCAGGGCACACAGACACTTTGCAGTATGTAACATTATGTGTATCTACACACTTGGGCTATACCCCATACTTTGTGTATATAGCACACTTTAGGTAGAGACTTCACTGCTGGGAGCATTCTGTAGCGTCAGTGTAACTTTGGCAAGGCTCTGAGGTTAAGTGTACAGACCGTGGAACCAGATAAAGCTGGGTAGGATGCATTTCCACCACTTGCTAACCTTGAGCAAATCACTTGCCTCTGAGACTCAGTTTCTTCACCTGTAAAATGGAGATAAAAATAGTATCTACCTCATAGGTTTCGGGGGGATAGGGGAGGAAGCAGAGCCCATGATGGGCTCATCACAGTGCCCAGCACATTAGAAACACTCAGTAGGGGCGCCGGGGTGGCTTGGTCGGTTGGGCGTCCGACTTTCGCTTAGGTCGTGATCTCGCGGTTCGTGGGTTCGGGCCCCGCGTCGGGCTCTGTGCTGGCTGCCGGCTCGGAGCCTGGAGCCTGTTTCAGTCTGTGACTCCCTCTCTCTCTGACCCTCCCCTGCTCACGCTGTCTCTCTCTCTCTCTCTCTCTCTCCTAGAAGTCAATGAAACATAGAAAAAAATTTAAAAAAAAAAAAAAAAGAAACACTCAGTAAATGGTACCCTTGTTATTGCTCACACTTTCAAAGGTGTTTTATAATGTAATGTACTTTTTGATTTAAAATCTTTAAAAATATATATATTAAAGATTTTAAATCTATAATATATATAATATATATGTTCCCAGAGTCTCAAAGCTTTGGAAACTCAGATAACAGACAGAACCACTTAATTCATATTTATTTCACATTTAATCTGTAAACTTTTATTTTAAAAAATCCACCATCATTAGCAACATGTGCTGACATTAGTTTGTCTTTAGTGAAATAAGAGCGCAGGCCTTAGAGAGTCTCTGTCTAAAACACGTAGAAACTCAGATGTAAACACAAGGTCTCCGCCCTCCTCCCTTGATTTGCGGAGTTCATCACTGAATGACATGATCTCAACCAGAAAAGCAGGAGGGAAGGACAACACTTTGATACCTAAGAGCTCTTGGGGCGGGAACTGTACAGTTTGGCAGGCTCATTTGTCTTTGCAAACTGTTTACCTTGGGCAAATTGTATCAGGTTTGCTTCTTCCACATAATTTCCACTCCTCCTCCGCCTAAAAACAGCAGCTAAAAGATTTCTTGCAGTCAGCACTTTTGGGGAGGGAGGGGCAGGTGCAGGAACATACAAGATAGAAACATACATATTCTTCAAGCAGTGGCCCTGGAGAGAAGGAAGGAGGGGGCCAGGGAGGGAGGAACACAGGAAAGAGATACTTTTCAAGTGAGTTGCTGGGGCAAAGGGTGCATCAGAGGATAATGGCTTTATACACAGGGCTGCTGCAGGGCAGAAAGGTTCATTTACTTCTGTCTTGGTCCTTCGTTGTAGTATTTACATAGGAAAAGGCAATTATGCTGTTAGGCACAGGAAAAAATGGACAGAAATCTTTTTCCCCTCAGGAAATCTCAAAGCAGGTCCAGGTCCAAGGGACAGTCACCAGTTGCTGGCGAAAAGGACCCAGAAGGAGGTAATGACACCAGAAAAGGACTTGCATTACAAAGGGGCTTGGCCTGAACCAAAGACCATGTATCTGCCTCAAGGGCATCTCCAACAGCACTGAAAGCCCAGACATTGGGGGTCCTAGCGAGTACTATCAAAAATAGTGTATATTTACAGTGGGGGGTGGGGGGATGGGCAGGGCTGCCCTGAGCATTTGTTTTAAAAACAGAGTCAGGGGGAAGAGGGAGAGCCATCAGCCAGGGCTGGGTAACCCCATCCATTAATCCGTTGTGAGCCCTACCCTCTGCGGCCCCGTGTTTGCTTGCTCTGATCTGCACGGAGAGCTGGACTCAGGGGAGGTGGAAATGCCTTTAGGAAACAATACTGATTCGGGGGACCCAACAACCCAGAAGACCGCTCCAAGTCACAAGCGGCCCTGGTAACAACTGGGGACCTGTGATCCTCTCAGCCGGTACTTTTCCCTGAGAGGGATGAACCGAGGCCACGGAGCAGGCAGGACCCGGGTTTCAGTGTGCTGGGGCTATACAGATGCTCCCTCCATCCCCGCTGACTGCCGTGGGCGCCAGCCTGTCGGCGGGTCGCGGACCCCGCGCTCACACGATCCGTTTCCTGTCCCCCCGGCAGAGGATCTTCTTGAAGGCGCGGCGGAAGTCGTGATTGAAGATGGTGTAGATGACCGGGTTCAGGGAGCTGTTGCAGTAGCCGAACCAGAAGAAGAACTTGAAAAGCGTGCGCGGCACGGAGCAGCCCACGGCCGTGAGCGTGTAAGTGAAGAAGAAGGGGAACCAGCACACCACGAACACGCCGATGACCACGGCCAGCACGAACGTGAAGCGCTTTTCGCGGTTCTGCCGCCCGCGCCAGCGCGACGCCTTGGCGCCCCCGCCGCGCTCCTCCCCGGGCCCCGCCGCCGACGCCCCGGGCCCCGTCGCCCCCGGCCCACGCCGGGGCAGGCTGTCCCCGGGCTTCACCTGGCTCGCCCGGGGCTTGCCCTTGGCCCGGGGGCCGCGCTCGGACCTGCGGGGTCCCGGGGGCCGCTCGGCGTGCTCGGAGGACGAGCTCTCCTCCAAGTCCAGAGCGTCGGCGTCGCGGGGCCCTGCGGGCGCGGGCTCCCCGGGGGCACCGTTGAGCTGGGCGGGCAGCGGCTCGGCCTCGGCGCCCAAGGGGCCCACGCCGCGCTCCGGGCCCAGGCCGTTGGGCCTGCGCTCGGCGCCCCCCGGCGGCGCGGAGGTGGCGGCGGCGGCGTCCGGACCCCGGCGGCTGGGTGGCACGCGGGTGCGGCGCTTGGCGATCTGGTAGATGCGCACGTAGACCAGGATCATGATGAGGCAGGGCGCGAAGAAGGAGCCGATGCACGACGAGATTACGTACCACTTCTGGTCGTTGATCTCGCAGCGCGGCTCGGTCGGCTGCTGGCCGCCGCCGCCGCCCTTCTTCTCGATGGAGATGAGTGGCGGGAAGGAGATGACGGCCGAGATGACCCACACGGTGACGATGATGGCCTTGATGCGGCGCGGCGTGCGCTTCAGGTTGTACTCGATGGCCTGCGTGATGGACCAGTAGCGATCCAGGCTGATGGCGCACAGGTGCACGATGGACGAGGTGCAGAAGAGCACGTCGAGTGCCAGGTAGATCTCACACCACGCCTTGCCGAAATACCAGTAGCCCATGACCTCGTTGGCCAGGGAGAAAGGGATGACAAGCGTGGCCACCAGGATGTCGGCCGAGGCCAGAGACACCAGAAAGAGGTTCTGGGGCGCCTTAAGTGCGCGGCTCGTGAACACGGCGATGATGACCAGCACGTTGCCGAACACCGTGAGCAGCATGAGCAGGCCGGCCAGGCACACCAGAGTCAGCGTCACCTGCAGGGAGTAAGGGGTGGCCCGGGCGCCGCCCCCCGGCGCCTCGGTCCCATTCCAGCTCGTGTTGCCCGCGTCCAGCTGCAGGGAGCCCATGGGCGCGAAGCTGCCCTCGGCCAGCGGCTGCTCCTGGCGGAACATGAACGCGGATGCCCGCTTGCCTGGGCCTGCTGCCAGTTGTCTTCCGGCCCAGCGCCCGTGGGTCCTCCTCTTCCTCCCGCGCCCCGCTCGCCCTTACGCGCCTCACATGGGGAGGGACCGCAGGGACGCGGGCCGGAGCTGGGGAGACGCTAGCAGCCCATGGGCCCGGCTCCCGCGACCGGCGCCTTCTCTTCCCCAGCTCAGCACAAGTTTTATTTCTAAGCGGCGGGAGAGTAGGTCGGTCGAGCCGATGGGGAAGGAGAGAGAGATTCAAGGGAGAACCAAAACCATCGGTGGCCTGATGACTTGGAAGGATGACGGAAAATTTTACAAATAGATCTCTATCTTGACTCCTGAGCCCGAGCGAAAAGCAAGAGGTCTTACCGTGTGCGGGACCCGCCCCCACCCCGGGAGGCAGCCGAGGGGCGCGGACGCGGGCCTGGGGTCTGTCTTCTTACATCCCCGAAGCGATTACCGACTCTCCCGCTTCCCCCAGACGCGGCGGTGCGGGCCGGGCCCGGGCTGGGGCCAGCGTGCGGACTCTGCCGCCTCTCAGAGCGCCGCCGGACTTCCAAAGTTGCGTGCCCAGCTGGGGCTGGGTCGCAGCGCGCGGAGCTCGGGGGCGGCGGCCGCGGCGGGGTGCGCGCCGTGCGGGCCGCATGAAGGCGCCCCCGTCCTCCGGTGGGCCGGGGCAGGTGGGCGATCGGCCCTCCAGGAGCCGCCGCTGAGGCAGAGGGTCTTCGGGGCGTGGGCCCGGCGAGCTGCGGGCGCTGAGTGCAGCCCAGCCGGACGGGCCGGGGTCCGAGGGCGCCGTGAGTTGGGGCGGGAGCGCGGGGCTAGGGAGAGAAAGCTGTTGGGGGTGGCCGGGCGGCAGCGCGCCGGCGGCTGGGCGGCTGCACCGAAGCCAGAGCCTCCGCTGCTCCGCCGCGCTCACGGTGGACTGGTTTTATAGCCCCAGGATCAAGCTGGCGTTGCCGAGCAGCCGGCGTCAGCCCCCACGTGGGAAACCGACCCTCCCCCGCCCCTTGCGCCTCCCCTCCACCGGGCTAGCGCCCGCGCCCCGCGCGGGACCTTGGGGAGCGCTGCCCCTGGCCGGATGGGCTCTTTGGAGAGGCGGGTACCGTGAGCGGGGTGGTTTAAAGAACGTGCCCGGGAGTGGGAGCGGCCCCTGCTGGGAATTGGCCGAGCAGCGCCGGTCCGGCGGAACAGAAAGCAGCGGGAACCTGGGAGTGCTCCCATCCACTGGGTCCTGGGGGAAAGAGAGTTGGGCGCCCGGGCCCGAATCGGGAGAAGCGGTCACCGGTACAAGTAGCATCCGAGGCAGCCTGGGCCTGGGCCAGGCCGCCCTCGACCGCATGTGCTCCCGGCGGCGAGGCGAGAGGGGTGCTGGGGAGAAAGGAAGGCAGGGGTTCGCATCGAACCCCCCGCGGCGGAATGGGAAGCACCCCCGGGGAGCGGGAGCCGCCCGAGTCCCGAGCTCCGCTGGGGGAAAGGAGGCCACCTGTGGTTCTAGCCGCAGAGTCGTCTGCGGGACAGCGGCGGCCGCCGGTCTGCACCGCGCCTCCTTAGACCGCGGTGAGGAGGGGGCTCGGCTGCGGCCGCCGCGCACCACGACTGAGCGAGGGCGCACTGACACCTGCTGGCAACTCGTCGTCACGGCTGCCGTGCCGGGCGCTTTCTTCCGCCTCTGCAGTCCTTTGCCTACAGCGCCTTCTCCTATTTCAAGTTTGGGTCCGAGCTCAGGAAAGGAGAACCCAGATTTTAAAGTGCGCTTTGTCGCGTTGAAGAAATCTTCCTAAAGCATGTACTTGTGTGTCGGGATTGGGAGTTCGTCTGCTAAGGTCACATCGGGAAGGGGTTAGCAGGCTCAGAGCCCAGGACTCTGTGCCCGCACATAGGAGAGGCCTGGACCCTGTGCTAATGATTGACCAGTTTGAGCCTGCTAGGAACGATTTTGTCTTTCTAGAGGCTGGAAGACTATACTTCACCCCCATCTCGCCCCCATTTTAGATGCATACACATCATCTTTCAGTTAAGGAGGGGGGTGCTGGCCAAAAGAAGAGAGAATATTTTCCACCTTCTTTCTGCTAGGAATAGCATGGAGTGAGGTGAACGGCTAGTTTTTCTCAGCATGCTGGATGTCCTACAACAGTTTTAACAATTGCTAGAGTAGCAGCTTGTACTGTGCTGTCTGCACTTTTCTAATAAGCAGGCAGTTTAAGGGTAAGCCCAGGGCAATAGGAACTGTTAACAGGAGAGATTAACAGAAAAGTTGAAGAAAAGTTGCCAATAAAGCAGAATATATAGTCACCAAAGATGGAAGTTCAAGATCAAACAGATCACCTCTCTGCCCGGCAGGGTGCAGGCTCAGGTCTGGCTGGGGGCTAAGGACAAATTAAGGACCTTGAGCATGGCATTCAACCCCAACTGTTGTCCTAGAGCCCACCAGTGATAGTTATTGAAGCACTTGCTCTTGGCATACATGGTCATGAAGTCTGTATTTTTTCAAAGTACTTCACAGATGTCTCATTTGACGTCAGTACCTTTATCTCCCAATCTCTGATCCAGTAGGGTGACCTCCTCCACCAGTCTTAATTCTGAGGAGCCAAAAATGCCCTTTTCTGTGGGCTGAGAAGCTGAGAAGACAGAATTTCGTCTCTCTGTTGAGTCCCTCACTTCCCATCTTCTCAAATCTCAGCCCTGAGTCTCAGAGCAGGGCAGAAACATTGCACTGGGCTCAGTTGGAAATGTGGTTATTCTCACGTTTGCACAGTGACCAGGAGCCCCTAACTTCAAGCATGAATGATAAGAGACAAAATCGAAGCCCGAGGCAGTCTGGGCTCATGGGGTTGTTCACACTTGGGAAGTGAGTATCGGACAGCCGTCACTGCCCATCTCTGCACCAGCTGCTGACATGCTGCTCGCCTCCCCGTCTCATTTCAGAAGCAAAAAGGAAAATTAAAACAGACCACGGTGCTTTCCTTTCTCAGAAGGAATGCTGCCAGCCTGTGTATGACACCTCTTGTCATATTTTCTACATGCTGACCAAATAGCCAGTGAGTTCCGTGATTCCGAGGTTTGGAGTCTTTTCTCCTAAAATGAAAACAGGTGTTTCAAGGAACTAAGGTCTCGAGACCAATATACAACAAGGGCTGTCTTTTGTTAAGTACCTAGTATGATCATGTGCAGGGCTGTATACAGACCCCTTATATGCCAAGTTCCTCCTTCTTATCTGCTTAGTTGGACACACAGTGTCAGTCTATCTGAGCTTTGAAAAGCCACGTGGACACCATTATTTTTTGTTAGAATTTTTAGTGCTGTGCTAGCTGAGTGAGGCCGCATTAAGCAGAGATACATCCACAAAGATAATAGTTCTTAAAAAGGCCTGTATATCAGCATTGCCTGGGAAGGTAAAATACACTTATCAGTGCTCCTCCAGGCTAATTATGAGTCATCAGGGCTGTGGGGGGATGCAGCATGTGTATTTTAACAAGGTTCCTTGGCAGATGCTAACACACACACACACACACACACTCAAAACTCACTGCTCTAAGCAATAAATCTCAGTGGGAGGCAGGAGTGACGAGCAATTGTCTTGGGGCAGGAAGAGAGTGTCCAAATGACCTGAGGACTTTTATGAAGCCAACCTAAGCTACAAAGAAGTGCCTCAGATTAAAGATCACTGCCCTGGTGGGCCAGTGGCACAGCCAGGAGGGTGTCACAGCCCTCAGGGATCTGAGGCAGAACAGTTGAGAGCCACTGTAATATGGAGGTTGACTTCTGTGGCTCAAGGAGTCACCTCTGGGCACACAAATGGGGGTCCATTATGATTGCTACTATTAATAAAAATAAGTACTTTTGGGGGGCACCGGGGTAGCGTAGTCAGTTAAGCAGCTGACTGTGGCTTAGGTCATGATCTCATGGTCGGTGAGTTCAAGCCCCGTGTCAGGCTCTGTACTGACAGCTCAGAGCCTAGAGCCTGCTTAGGATTCTGTGTCTCCCTCCCTCTCTGCCCCTTCCCTGATCACACTCTGTTTCTCTCTCTCAAAAATAAACATTTAAAAATTTTGGGGCGCCTGGGTGGCTTAGTCGGTTAAGCATCCGACTTTCGCTTAGGTCATGATCTCACGGTTTGTGGGTTCGAGCCCCGGGTCGGGCTCTGTGCTGACTGCCAGCTCAGAGCCTGGAGCCTATTTCAGAGTCTGGGTCTCCCTCTCTCTCCGACTCTCCCCTGCTCACGCTGTTTCTCTCTCTCTTAGAAATAAAAATATTTTTTAAAAAATATAAATAAATAAATAAAAATAAGTACTTTTGGGGTGCCTGGGTGGCTCAGTCAGTTAAGCGTCCGGCCCCGGTTCAGGTCATGATCTCACGGTTTGTGGGTTTGAGCCCCGCGTCGCACTCTGTGCTGACAGCTCAGAGCCTGGAGCCTGCTTCAGATGCTGTGTCTCCTTCTCTCTCTGACCCTCCCCTGCTCATGCTGTCTCTCTCTCTCTATCAGAAATAAATAAAACATTTTAAAAATTTAAAAAATAAGCACTTTTTATTAGCACCAACCCTATACCGTATAGGGTATATAGCATATATATAGCTGAGCAGTTTATATACTATCTATATGCTATATAATTCCAGAAACAACCCTGCAGTGGGGATATTACCCGACTTTACAGATGGGGAAAACAAGGCTGAGAGAGGTTAAGTAGGCTTCCCAGCTAACAAGTAGCAGGGTCAGATCCAGAGTTGGAGTTTCCTGATTATAAGCGCAGTAAGCTTTGAGCGTGTCCGTCGGCTACCGCGCTGACGAAGAGAAACCTACAAGAGGCTCATGAGAAATGAAAGTGCTGGCGGCTGTCAGATCCTCCCTGTATCCCTGTCCTCCTGGTCCACTTGTGGCTGCTAGCGCAGGACGGTAGAGGGCGAGACGCATCCTTTTATTCCACGTGTGATGCTACTGCAGTGGAGGAAGGGTCAGGCACACTCTACACAAGACTGAACGTTCCCCGATGCAGAGCTGACACCGTACTACCTGATCGTGCCAGCCTGGAGTTATGTCCTCTCCTTGGTGGAAGTCACCATATTTCTTCCACGGCATGGGTGAACTTTTATTGCACTAGCTCACCTGTTCACTTGAATGATGGTATAGTAAGGGGAAAGGACTGTTCTGTTCATCATTATATTCCTAGAACATAAAACGGGCTTTCGAAAAATCAAATTTCTGGGACCTATCGCTTGGAGGTTCAACAGGACTACAGGAGGACTTATGTTTTTAACAAATACCTGAGTCATCCAGTAATACCAAAATGTAAGACACACAGGCATGGATGTTTGATGAGTGCTTGTGTGATGGAAGAATGAAAGAATTAGTGAATGGATACTACTTTCGATTAAACTATCTAAGACATAAGAGGCCCAGAGAAGGTGCCTAAGGTGGCTAGCTCTTCATTTCAAAATCAGGATTTAGTTGAGGGATCCTAACTAGTTAAGGGATAGGATTCAGTATAGGGATAGTTCAGTATAGGATTCTCTCATATTCTGTCTCTATCTCTCTCTCTATCTATAGATTTTTTTCC